TTCAAAAAGTTTGTGGGAAAATGGAATTAAAAAATCATGACAATATTCCATGTACTTTCTGAAATGCCCCTGTCTAAGACTTACTGGACTCAAAGGGTTGGCAGGAGTAAGGGTTGATACATTTGAAACATTTGGAATAATGCCTGGCATATTTTTATATCCCCTATTACTATCATGCCATTTGCTTGAATGGGAATCATATTACCATTAGGACTGACTTCAGTTAATCTTTGTTGATGGACTCGTTCCAAAGAATGAACATTATCATGATATTTCCAAGGAACCTTGGATTTTCTCCAAGGCACGCTCAAATGCTCTTACCTGACTTGTTTATGAACTGCCAGGAAGAGGCTCCCTTCCTGTTCCCAGTGCCCTCTATCTCTTAGCATCCTGTGAGCAGGGCTAAGGTGTGCATTGTATGCCTTTTGCCACACTGCGATGAGAAAGCTGCTCGAATAGTCAGTGGTACTAAGAATCACCTCCTGAGTGTGGTCCACACTAGAAAAGAATTTTTTTTACTGGCCAGAAACAGAACGGGGTCAAAATCTAAAGTCTTAATCATCTAGTTCTACTGTAATAGAAATACCACAAGTGGTGGGCTTTAACAAACAGAATTTTATTTTCTCACAGTTTAGGGGCTAGAAGTCTTGATTCATGGCAGAACCTCTACAGGAAGGCTTGCTCTCTCGATTGCCTCTGGTGGATTTTCCTTGGCTTTCTGAGTGTCTGCTCCTGAGCGGTCTTCATGTGGCTTGGCAATCCTCTTCTCCCATCTTTGCTTGCTCCTTTTTTTGGTAAAAGGTTGACTGAAAACACACACGACACTAATCCTGTCTCCTCGGCATAATAGAAAACTCATTCCCATATCAGAATGTGATATGAATAGAACTCAGTGTGGTGGAGTGAATGTTTTTATTTTTTATTTTTTGGATATTTCATCTTGCTTTATTTTTAATAGAAATACTATGTGAAAAACAACACTCCTTGGAAATATAAAATTGCCCTGCTATATAGAATAAGCTCCTGAATGTCTCAGAAAAAAATTATTTCAGATGATGACATCAGTTGCCTTCACTGTAAAATGAGAAAATTTAATAACACAATCTCACAGGGTATTTCTAGTTCTTAATTCTACGCTTTTCTGACTCTCAACATCCAGAGGATGTGCTGCTGAAATCAGACAGGCAAAGATTCAAGTACCAACGTCACTACTTATCTTCAGCAAATCATTTATCCTTTCTGGCCTCAACTTCTGCAGTGAAGCAACAAAGCCCACATGGAAGAAGCACACCAGCCTATGCAACCACAAGGTGTCAAAGGGATCAGGTATAAGGCATCATCAGAACAAAAAATCTTACCATAGTGAATGATGGGGGGAGTGCGGAGTGGAGACCCAAAGCCCATTAGTAGGCCACTGGAGATCCCCTTGCAGAGGAGTCTCGGGGAGAAGACAAGTCAGTCAGGGTGCAATGTAGCAACGATGAAAAATACAGCTTTCCTCTGGTTCCTAAATGCTTCCTCCCCGCCCCCACTATCATGATCCGAATTTTACCTTGCAACTTTGGCTAAACCAGAGGATGTACGCTGGTACAGATAGGAACTGGAAACACAAGGAATCCATAAGGTTTTCATTGGCTAGTCTTCAGTAGATCTCTAGGCCTTTCTTCGTAGTTTGTCTCTCAGTCCAAAAGCTCTGCTGAAAAAGCTGTCCACCATGTGGGATCCTATTGCTTTTTGGAATATGAGTGGCCTACCTTTCAACATCCCAGCAATACACAAGCCGCATAGTACAACAAACTGATAAGTCGCAGGGCTGTTCAGTCGTGTTACTAAAGCTTCTAGAATAGTGCCAGGCATGTAATAGTTCAGTAAATCACGTGAAGAAGAACGAAGACTTATCTAGTGGTGGCCCTGCACCAGGCATTATTTTAAGATCTTTAAGTGCATCGCTCACTTAATCTTCTCCACAACACCAAGTCAAACACTAACATCATCTCCATTGAAGTTAAAACAAAACAAAACTAAGGCATAACAATGTGGTCTCAAATCTAGTAGATGAAAGGATCAAGGTTCAAATCTAGGCCTTCAGCTGATCCTGAAGTTCACACTCTTGATTCACAAATGATCATGATTATCCTGAGAACGAGCTACAGAAGACAAGATAGTATCAACAAACACATCTGCGATCTGTGTCCTTCCTCTCACCTCCCTCTGACTGTCTCCACCACATACAACTTGTTCTTTGTATATGCTGAGGGCCCCTAAACCCTGGGATAGGTCAGACTAAGCTATCCTGGGAGAACATTCCAGAATTTTTTAAAGCTTTGCTCTGGGCGCTGAGCCTAACCTTTATTTTGTAACTGATTTACCCTACCCAGAGACTCTGCTACCTTCTGTGAGAACTGGGTAGACTTTGGAAATACTCCACTGGCCAACCAGAAAATTAAATAAGAAAGTCTTCAGACCCTGAAGCCTAATTCTCAAATGCCAAACAATTTGGAGCAATGAGTCATTCTTTCAGAACAGAAATAATTGTCATCCAATGATGTTGTTCCAGAAGCCACATAAACCTAACGGTTAAAAACACTGCCTGACAGCCTGGGTGCCAGGATCAGCTCTAGCTGTGTAGCCTTGGGCAAATGGCTTAACTTCTCTGTGCTATTGTTTCCTCATTTTTAACATGACAGCATTCATAGGATGCACCTCAGAAAGTTGTTATGAGGATTAATGTAAGTAAATAATTGCGACTATCATACGAATTCCTAAATGTTAGGCTTTATTATTCATTTATTCTGTTGTGCTTCTGTCCAACTGTGTAGGCTTTGTAGTAGATACATTAAAGGATAAATTTGCTAATATTTTATTCCTTTTGAAAATAATTCTTCTATTTTTACCATTTCACTGCCAGCCAGCCCTCTCCTATAAACCATATCTCCACCATCTCATCTCGCCCTTAAAAGCATAGGAAATTACATTTTAAAGCCTCATGGAATTACAACACTCATTATACTCATAAAAGTCAGGAAATGTGAAAGTGAGAATTCTCTCAAGACATTAGTATAGAACCATGGCTCTGATGCGACCTCTCAGAGAACTAACTGTAGCCTTCTGAAGTCCTTGAGGATAAGCCTTGAGGCCCTCACTTATGGCTCTCTACTCACCAAATTTAACTGATCGTATGCCTCCTATGGATACCAGTTGGGCTTTCTACTGGCCATTTCAAAGTAATGCTTCCCCTGCTACTGACTCAGAGTCACCCCACAGAACAGTGGTTCTCAAACCTGAGCATTAGCATTGACCTGAAGGAGCAGGGAAGGAGCTTAGGAAACACAGATGGCTGGATTCCACCCCCAGATTGTCTGTCTCAGTAGGTCTAGGGTTGTTATTGTTGCTATTTGCTATGGACTTTCTGAAAAATTCATAGTCACTCTATGCACAATGGAACAAACGATTGGCTGTGGATCATACTATTCTGACCCACAAGTTTTTCATGGGCTGATTCTCAGAAGCAGATCGCCAGGCCTTTCTTTGTAGTCCATGTTCGTCTGGAAGCTCCACTGATATCTGTTCAGGATCGCAAGAACATGCAAGCCTCCAGTGGGAGATGGCTACGCGATGTGCATCCTTAGGAATCGAACACAGGTCTCTCACCTGGTAGACAAAGCTTCTATTACTGAAAGATCTCATCATTCTCATTTCTAACAAATTCCCTGGTGATGCTGGTGCTAATGGTGTAGACCGCAGTCAGCAAACCATGGCTTGAGAGAAATATGCGGGTTTGTTGGTGTGTAGGTGTCCCTCTGAAGTAAAATAGAAAAAAATTTTAAGGATATTATTCAGGTAATGGTAATTTCACTTGCTTGTGAGTATATATTTATGACTCTTGAACAATTTTTAAATTGTTGTGAGGACTGGTTTTTCTGTCCCAAAAGTTTGCTAAGCCCTGATCTGGACCGCAATATGAGAACAACCAGTGTTAGTATTTCTCTCCATACCAATCAACCCCACCAAATGCACCCAAATGGAATATATATGCAGGGGGTGGGGGGGTGTTTCATTTTGTTTTCATATGGAATGCTTCACTAATTTGCGTGTCATCCTTGTGCAGGGGCCATGCTAATCTTCTCTGTGTTGTTCCAGTTTTAGTGCATGTGCTGCTGAAGTAAGCACTATGTGCATGTTTTGCTGTTAGTTACTGTGGAGTCCAATCTGCTTTGTGGGGACTCACATGTGTGGCGTAGAACTGTGTTCCATAGGGTTTCAGTGCTGTGACCTCTCAGAAGCAGCTTATTAGTGCTGTCTTCTGCAGCATATCTAAATGGGTTCAAACCACCCAACCTTTAGCTAATAGTCCATGCTTAACCATTTGTGCCATCCAAGGACTGCTTTGTGTATAGACTACACCTCAATTTTTTAAGGAAGTATGAAAGAGCAAAGGTCACTTTGAAGATAAGACTAAGGTACATCCGACTCAAACCATGCTATTTTCAGTCACCTCCTATGCACAAGCAAGCTGAACCATGAATAAGACTGCAGGAGTGTTGATGCATCCGAATTATATCAGAAGTGCTATGGACTGCCAGAAGGAGGCCTGCTGGTATAGGGGTTATATGTTGGGCTGTGATCGAAACGATTAGTAGTTCAAAACCACCAGCCACTCCATGGGAGAAAAACTGGGCTTTCTACTCCCATAAACAGTTATAGTCTTGGAAACACACAGGGGGTCACTGTGAGTGAGCACTGACTCAACAGCAGTGAGGCTTTGAGATGCACTGCCAGGAGAACAAGTAAGTTTGTCTCGGAGGAAATATGGCCAGAATCCTCCTTGGAATACAGGATGGCAAGATTTCAGCTGTTGTACTTTGTACATGTTATCAGGAGAGACGGGTCCCTGGAAAAGGACATCATGCTTGGTAAAGCAGAAGGTCAACTAAAAAGAGGAAGACCTCAAAAAGATAGATTTAACTTAGTGGCTGGAACAATGGGGTGAAACAGAACAATTGTAAGGATGGTGCTTCATTCTGCTGCAAGCGGAATCACAGTAAGTTGGAGATGACTCAGTGGTACCCCAAAATTAATTTTTTTAAGAAATAGTAAACAAATTTTTTCAAAGCTCAAATCAAATTTGGCAAGACAAGACACCTCTCATTTCAGCTTCTTCACCAATTCCAGTCACCCATCCTTTGGTCTTCCCATCAGGCTCTGTTTTCTCCTGTATTTTGCAAAGAATGTTTGTGTGTGAACAGCTCCAGGCCTGCTTGTTTATATGTACACATTTGTATTTCTCTTTCTCATCCATTAAACTGCAGATTGCTTGAATACTTTTCTCTCTAAGGCTCTATAGGACTTGATGTACAGCACATAGTGGGTGTGTTTATTAAGTGCAGATAATAGCAAGGGTTTTAATACTCATAACAAGTAAAATGAACAGATATTTCCACAAGAACTTTAACCTGTATCAGGGACAAAGTGTGGCGTATTTCTACAGCATTAGTGTAGCCAGATAAGTAATGATTTTGTACTTACATATAATAGTGTATATGTTGCAAGTCAGCATTTTAAGTGTTTTGATGCCATTCTCAGAAATGCTGTCTGCACATCTTCTTAGAGAGCAAAATGTGTAATTCAACATAGGGGAGTTTGTGATATTCTTGAAGAGGATGGCAAAGAAGATCATGACTTCTAGAAATATCACTGTAATGATAATCAATTTTAATTTGGAGGAGCTTGCATGTGCACCAACTACTTCTCAAACTTAAGTAAACTATTGGTGGCTCTGAAGACCACCAATGAGGCTTTATAATAGTCCAGATGTTATTATGATGATGATGATGTACTGATTTACAAAGTACAAGAACTTAATAAATATTCAAAGGGCCAGATCAATACTACGTCAGCTGTCGAATGGTCCCAAGCTAAGGACACAGGCTGTTATCAGTCTTTTCCTAGCAAGCATAGACTATTACAGAGCCAACCAAGAAGTAAGATTTCAGTTGCAATGTCTTCTGTGGTCTAAAATATGCATTAGACCCAATGATAGAGGTCAAATATTGACCCACTTCTTTTGAAAGAAATGTGTTATACTCAGTCCTGTTTGACATGAAAATGTGAGGCCTTCTGTAGTTTTTTTGTTTTGTTTTGTTTTTTCTTTTTTTAAAAGGACATGATGTTTCATTTAGCCTCAGGATGTTTCTACATTTATCATTAAATTAAGGTACATTCAGTACACTTGGTTTCTATCAGCTTAAATCTTTCTAAAGTCTAATCAGGAGCTAATAATAAGCTTTACCTAAGAGTAAGCATACATTGTTTCTGAGTTGTTATAAAAGTTGTATGTCTCATCGGTGCTATACTGCACTCTGACTGACTTGTCTCTTCTTTGTGAATCTTCTGTATGGAGATGTTCAATTGTCTGCAGATGGGCTTTGGGTCTCCACTCCAAGTTCCCCCTCATTCACATTAATATGACTTTTTTTGTTCTGAGTCTTTGAAGCAAGACACGTGATCTTATCGATACTTCATGATCACACAGGTTGGTGTGCTTCTTCCAGGTGGTATTGACCAACCCAGGGATGAAAGAGCAACAAGTGATCCAAAATTAGTGGTAAGGAGGGTGTAAGAGGCCTGGTAGGGATTCAGCAAGGGCAATGTAACTGAGAGAAA